AAGTGATAGGCAGCATATTACATGATGAGAAGAATGAGGAAGACATTTTGACAAACTTGAATGGTAAAGATGGCATTCTAGAATTGATGACAGACTAAAATGCTTTTACATCTGTTTGTATGACATGTACTCCCTGGTAATGCATATTTTATATCCATTTAGGTTATCTACCATGTGTTTTGACTCAACTAAATTTTGAAAAATTATTAAATTTTGAAAAATAATTCAAAATTTTGTAGCAGCTTCTACTACAAAAAGGAAATAAATCCATTAATAGATGTCATCTTAGAAGTAATAACATAATTATCAGAACACCATCTCTTTTTTATACTTTATTTTTATTATTGTTGTACTTGGGGTACATTGTGACATTTACAAATTTCTTACAATTTGCCATAGTTTAATTCACCCCCTCTGTCATTCTCCTGGAATAGTTTCAACAGGTCTCATTTTTCCATTTACATACATGTGTACAGAATTATGCCAGGTATTATTTTAAGGGTTTTAGAGTTATTATCTCATTTAGTCACCCCAACAAACCTTTATGGTATACATATTCCCATTTTCCCAATTTACAATGAGGTAACTAAGGCATAGAGGGGTGAAGGCAGTCTAACTTCAGAGCCCATGCTCCTAACTCATTAACTTTTGCATATTGTGCAATTCATCAGTTGTTTTTATTGCTATGGCCACTATCAGTTTATTATTCCCAGTAGTCCCTATATTCCAAAAGAAGTATCCCAATAGCTCCCTCTGATTTCTCTGGAAAATTCTAAATGTAACTTTTATGATTCAGTTTACTTACACCACTACCAGCGGTTTTGCTCTCAGCTTTTATCATGATGTGTTTTTATCTTGCATCTTTACTTCATTATTTATGGTTTGCCTTTTCTTACTGAAATCACAGCTTCTGGAGGGCAGGGGCATCTTTATCTTGCTCACTGCTATTTTCCTAATGCATAGATGCCTGCTATGTAGCAATACCCAATAATGATTGACTGCATGAATAAATAATGAGCTGTACTAAAACTATCTCTTTTTTTGGTATATAGTTCATGTGATTCAACCAGTCATCCAATATTTATAAGCACCATTTCTGTGCCTGGCACTATTTAGTTCACAGCATTTACTAAATGCCAGGTCTTCTTCTAAGTACTTTATGCAACTCTTAATCTTTACAATCACCCTATGAGGTGAGCTGCAAAGATCCAGAAATATTAAGACATAGCCCCTTTCCTAAAAAACCTTCAAGTGTAGTTGAGAAATAATACTGATGGAAGTCAGATAATTAGAAAACAATATAAGTTTATAACATGAGCCTCTAATTATTGGATTTTGAGTTATAATTACATTTTGAGGAAAGAAAAATATAGATATTCTTTCAACTTCTAAAAGAAATTGATAATTCATCTTGGTCTTAAGAGATGGGAAGAATTTGGAGCGATAAAGGGATGCTATTTGAGGATAGAACAAGTGAATTAAGGTACAAAACAAGGATGACCTTTGGAGTCTGGGAATAATGGTATATGTGATTGGGCAGGAAGGGAGAAACCAGACCAAGAACAGGTTTAAAACCCAGACAAAGTTGGATCAGAGGTGGCTTTAATCAATGATTCAGTGGGTGTGAATGTGTGGGTGTGTGGCCATAATATAAAGTCAGGAAATTAAGTCATTCCAAGCTTACTGTATGGGTGATATGGATAAAAGTATAGAGCACTTATCTTATTTTCCTAGCAGATAATAATCAGTCACTAAATGATTACTATTATTACTACTGCTAAAGATAATAGCAGAGAAAGTTTTGCCTTGAATATTTAATCTGAATAGACACACTAATTCTAAATTATTTATATCGGCTCTAGCTAATTTGTCTTTATGAAGCTGAATTCAGTTTAACCAATAATAGTATTGATTAAGACATACACACAAGATTTTGTTGAAAACTGAATAGATCTTACATATACTCCAGCAAAAAAAAAAATGTTTTCATGGCATACCCATTGATACAGTTGAAAAATAGTCAAATGAAAAGGTCTTCAAACTACTAGCTCTCTCTATTTCATTTAAAAGGTGTTATTTGCAACTCTACAGAATCCAGTTATAGCTTTATGATTCCCCGTGGAGGATATTTCACTGAAATTCAGTTTATATAAAAACAGGCATTTCCCAGAGGGATAAACAGAGAAGACATAATCACCTTTGCAAGATCTTCTATAAATTTCAAAGGCATGAAACTGCCTGTAAGGTTCACATTTTGTTTTGTTTTTTGGGGTGATGACAAAGGAGGCAGAGATTAAATAAACTGTAACTCAAAAAGCTTTTACTACTTTAACATTAAAAACATTCCATCTACGTATATTGCACCAATTTCCTTAGTACAATGTATTTTAACTAACTATTCTCCAAAGTGATTGTGGAGTTAATAGTGCACTGTGTAATTAATTATTATTCTAGATGAAGAAAACTAGGTCACGGTTTTGAAAGAACTAGATGTAGAGGCCTGAGCAACATGGTTTCTGTAAAGGGAAGGACTAAAAACTTAAGCAGAAAAAAATGGGAAGAGAAAGCAAGGGGAGAAGGAGAAAAAATCTTCTTGAGTCTTTTGAAGGGTTTGAAGCCAAGAATTTGAATTAAAGTTAAAACATGAGTGAGAAACCACTTAAATTCCTGCATGCAGTTTGCTTATTGCTCATGTCCACCAAAGTAGAAAACATTTTCTTTATGCAACACCCTGGACCTGCTCCATCTAATTAAGAGACAGAAAGGTCATCTACACACACAAAAGGGCACTGCCTTTGTTACTGAATAGCTGGATTAATCTTTTAACAAAGCCTTAAATATTTCTAATTTTCTTTGCCCTTAAACCTTGGAATTAACTAGACTTTCTGCCACGTGCTCCTCTTCTCCATTTCTCCTCTCCTTTCTCTCTGACTGGCCTACAGTTTCAGTCATCCCACGTTGTCCCTCTGTGCCCCTTGCACAATCATCCCTCTTGAGTGGGGCTTTGTGGACAAAGCCACTCTTTACTTTAGCCTGTGGTCTTTGCAGCATGTTGCCAAAAGTTCCCTTCCCTTCCTGAGGGCTTTTATGCAACTTGTGACACACGTGGTTTCTCGCAATAGGATTAACTTTGGGTGAAAGTGCATTGAATATTTTGAGTGCAAGTCACTGTTTGCTTTTCTGGTTGGTAAAGTACATAATGACTTAAGCAATACCTGTGCATTTTAGTTTAGGGTGTGGATATTCTGTGACACAGGTGTCAACTCTTGCTTTTACTTGAGCACGATTGCCGAAAGTCTGGTTGCAATCAGTTTGCTTTAGTCTGTGTAGACAACTATATATCAACTCAAGTGGAAGGAACTGCCTCTAGTATTCCAGAGTGGTTGGTTCTCTGCAGCTCTGCAGCCCTATCATGAAATGAAACCATTCCCAATGTTTCCTACATGTAGAGTGCCTTGGCATCTGCTGCCCCAACCTTCCTCCAACTGCTCCCCTCGTGGTGCTAGGTGAAGTCGGTTCATGGTTTTCATCTCATTGGAACAGCAGGCAAATGCTGAGAGCAGACCAGGGTCAGGGGTCCACAATTGCAAAGCAGCCATGACAAGCTCTGGGAAAGAAAAATAATTGTTGAACACCCCCATATATGTTAAAGCCCTGCCCCCACCTTGACTCAAGGATATTATTGTGAATCTTAGCAAAACACAGCAATGGTGCTTATTCAGGCTTCTGAACTTGTCTGTGAATCTGAACATGCTTTTAAGGTGAGCTAAGGTGTTTATACTGAGTGGATATATTTAACTCCATTTATTCCTACATCTGCATTCTGGCTTTATTCCACAGATTTCCAGCAGTTCCAGCAGCTTTGGAGTTAGTGTCCCTGATGCATTTGCCTCTGACCTCTGACCTCAACTTCTGTGTTATTTTCAGCTGTTCTTTGACAAGGGACTCCAACAGCTGCTGCTTAATACCACCGACAACTTGTGACACATGCAGAATTTCTAGCAATAGGATTAATCTGGCGATCTTGGGCCCCAGTTTGAAGCTGGTTATAATTTTCCTGCTCAAGGGGTAGAAGTGGGGAATAAAAACCAAGCCTGAAGTAGCCTGCAGTACAGTGCTATCTTAAAAAAAAAAAAATTGTAGCAAAATGTACCTAGTGTTAACCTTCAATCAAACAACAGCAGGAACAAAAACATTTTCTTGTTGCAATTAAAAAGTAACCAGTGTTTTGCTTTCTAGTAGATGTAATAACTGAATTTGAAAATGTTGCTCCAGAGTGGAAGTCACAATGAAATCCTGAAATGATTGGTATCTATTGACAAATGCTAGTTGAAAAATAAATTTCATGCCCCTCTGAGGCTCTCTAGGTTAGTGGTGGAATGGATAAGGGGTTGGCCTACAGATCAAAAGAAATCTGAGGCTCTGAGAAATGCTACCATTCCAAATTTCATTTGGCAAAGGGGAGGAAGTTTTTAAAAAGCAGATTAATCTAAAAATATATTCTGAGCAATTTTGTGTCTTAACCCCAACACAAATACCAGAGCTTTTTTTTTTTCAATGTACTTTTTTGGTAGTTTTCTTCGCATGAGGACGACTTGAAAAAATTTGAGAAGATTGATATCCAGGTCACTGACTTGCTAGTTTCAAAGTCCATAGTTACAACTGTTTAGTTTCAATGGCAAAAGTAATTTGGGTTGTCAGGATGTAATTTTTTTTTTTCCATTTGCTATCAAACATCAGCTGATAGGCAAAGAACTCAAAGCTGTCCTTCACGTTTCAGATAATGGCAAAAATAACAGGCACTCAGCGTTACCATACTAGGGGTGTGGCTCTTTTCCCGTTCGCTCCTCTCTCTCTGTCTCTCATGATAAACTCAATGGGGTGTCTATTTTTAACCTCCTGTTCTTTCCCTTTGGCAGAGTAGTCAGCGCAGCAGAGTTCTCTCCCTGAATGAATCCTAGTCACCTAGGTGGTTGCCTTCTGAAATGAACAGTAGACACACTTCTGTGCAAAGGCTGCCCAAGGTTTAAGCTCTGATTCTAAGGTACCATGTCTGGCCAACGAGATCCTGGTGTGGGGTTTTCCACGACAACTGTCAGTTCAGTAGCTGTGCAGGCTGGGGACTCCAAAATCGTGATAGCTGTCATAAAGGTAAGCTAACAACTTTCTTATTTCTGTGTGGCCGTGGGGTTCTTGCCATGTGTTGAGATCACAAATATAATGCACACTGGCAGGACACGGGGCATAGCAGATATCAGCCAAGTGCTTTTGCTTCTTACTTGCTTTTGCAAGTAAGAGAAACTTTTCCTAAGTTTTAGTAAGTTGACAGTTTCTCTTTCCTTTTTAGATAGCCAAAAATTATCTACAGCAGCTTGATTTTAAAAAAAAAAAAACACCATATACTTTCAATTTGATCTTTAAAGGCAAGGCAGGTGTGATTGGAGGGTGAGGATTGCGAGCTGAAGAGGCTGGTGGGACTGGGTGATGCCTGTGATTTTTGAGAGTGGATGTGCTGGAGGCCAGAGGAGGCAGGTCAGAGGGTCACATTGTCTTGAGTATGATGGAGCCCAGGAAACATCTAGGCTCCTAGATGTTCTGATGTGTGCCTCCCCCAACCCTCTCCCCAGCACTGGTTTTTGACATGGTAAAGGCACTGCTAAATCCTTGTCATCTTGTTAAGGGAGTAAAGACCCTGCCTCAGAAGATGTAAACTGCAGGCAACCTGGTGAACAAAGTGGTGCTCTCCAGCAATTTGGTTACTTTTAGGATCCTAGGAAGCTCACTTGAATGGCTGTTCTGGCCTTTTGTTAGAGCAAAGACAACAAGGCCTGTTTAATTTAATTTAATTACTTCAAATTTTATTGATAGTTTGAAAATTTATAACAGGAAAACAACTTGACATTGAGCAAAACGAAGCACTTTGGAGGCAGAGTGCAGGGCTCCTAGACAGGCCAATCTGCCAGTGCTGTTGAGACCTACTCTTCCATAACCAGGCTGACTCCCTCACCTACTTATGAGGGAAAATAGGCAAATTCACCATTTAAAAGAAATTAATGTTTCTTTTCCTCAAATATGAAACATCTTAAAGCAGGATGAACAGTAATGCTTAGGGACTAAGTGACAGGAGAATCAGAGGTATATTGAATATAAGGGGAAAAACCCATTTAAATTTCACTGTGAACTCTTACTTTAGCCAAGCTCTGGTTCTCAGAATGCAACCTTGCACTGCCTCCCCAGCTCTCTTACCTCACTGCCATCTCCATAAAAACATTCTTCAAGCTGTTCAGAGTGGAAAGTCCATCTGAATGGAACAGCAATACCTGTGTCTGACCTATAGTGAAGTTCAATTTGTGTTTGTGGAATTTACTATTTTTATGGAATTTGGTTTTGTGGGAATACTGTTGTGTGAATTATTCTGTGACGTTGTAATATGTAATAATGCATAATCCACTGCATGTATTTCTCATTTGTGAATTTTATTAATTTCAAATCCAACATGCCAAGAGAGAAGAATTTAACCTAAGAATGGGTTTATATTAGACCTACTATATTTCAAATAAGTTAGGCCCATCTCTGGGAAGAAGAAAATATCCCCAGTATTACAAGAATTAAAAAAATAAAAAAAGGAGAAGGGTGAGGAAGAAGAGGAACTAAAAATGCATTTTATTTCATTTTTATTTTTAGTGTGGCAAATGGGTGCAACTTCAATTGGCCGAATCACAGCCCAATCTTCTAGAAATTGGGAGTAGTCAAGATGAAACCAAAAAATTACTTCATGATCATGAATTTCTTTTGGCCAAGCTCAAGGTAAGAAACTAAGCAGATGCAAAGTCTTTATTTTTGTTGTTTTTTTTTTTTTTCCTGGTACTGGGATTTGAACTCAGGGCCTTGCTTGCTAAGATGCAAAGTTCAAAAGAAGAAAAAAGGCTCTTTCTTACACTTCCTCTTGATTCTTCTGGGGTCACTGGCCTTGCTGTGGCCATTTTAATATAGTGCTAGGTGGATAATGGGATACCACTACTATTGTTATGGGCAAACATCAACATTGTAGACAAGTAACAAGATTTTTAAAAATTTTTCCTTAATATAATAGAAAGTATGGAGTGGTAATACTTTCATTGTGGAGAAAGAAGTAATTTTTTTCCTGGCCACTTCAGTGGCCATTCCATGCACGACACTGTCAGTTAAAACAGTGACCAGAAAGTCAAGCATCCCGTTGCTAATGATGCCTCGTAGTAAGAATATTTTAGAGGCTTTTCCTCTTATGTACTACCAAAAATATGTGACTTTTGTGATTAGTATTAAGAGCTATTGAAACCAAATAACATATTTAGTAAAATCAGACTTGTCATTATTCAGTTAACATTGTAAAAACAACATTGAATTGAGATTGTCAGGTAAGGTCAAGGCCAGCTGCATAATTTGTGGGGTGCAAAATGAAAATGTGGGGTCCATTGTTCAAAAAACAAGAAGACTGTACTTGATCTGTCACAGTGCCTTTTATTTGCTATTTAATGCCTGGCTCGTTCAGGCTCAGGGTTATGTGTGGGTGACTGCAGACCCTCATGGATGCCCAACGTTGGCTGTAACTTAGTCAGTACAGTCTGTTTGGACCTGACCTTACTGAACAGGGTTGAAGCAGTAGATAAGACAATAGACAGTCCCCATCCCCTGAAGGTAGGATAACTGTGAAGTTTCAGTTCCTAGTACATTCTCTGTTGTCCCATGGGACTTCACTTATGAAACACAAATTCAAAGAAAAAGAATCCTTTACAATTTCAAGACAAGAACAGGTGGAGAATGAAACTCCACATTGTCTCTCTCTTAGAATGGAGCCCTCTGATGCAGCCAGCCCCGTAAGTAATAACACTCTTAAATAAATGAATGTTCTCGCTAACATCAAAGAGGTTTGATAAAGATTAAGTCCTGCAATTGAGGCTGGATAGAGTAGGAAGACAGGACACGAGAAGTAGAAATCAGGAATTCAGAAACAAAACATGGCATTAATGTATAACTTGACTAGAATTTGCTTGGTCCACTCCCTTCTTTTTATCTCAAAGATGATCATTTAAAGTCACAAGAAGCAAAAATCTATGTTGCAAGGACTTGGAGTTACTTAATATCTCTAGGCTGAACTGATAAGGTCAAAACGATAAAGGAATGATTGAGATGTACACTGCACCTAGAACAAAGGGGACCACTTCTAAAGAATGTTTACCCGGATCCCCTGCCCAGTTCTTCTCAGCATTTATACCCCTGCTGAACCAGCTCACCTGTGCCCTTCCTATACGCCTGTGCCTTGCCTATGAGGTGTGTCTGTACTTTGTGCTTTAACTTGCTGAGTAAATCCCTATCAGACTTTTATCCTGCATCTTGAAAATTCTTTTCCAAAAACCTAAAAAGGCCTAGTTGAGGTTGGCCTTTCCCTCGTGGGGATGACCTCCTTGAGACACTCACCACACCTCAATAACGCAATGACCGGCATGCTCTATGATTTTAGTACTTTAATATTACTGGCTTCTTTGAATATCCTGGGTGAAATTTTTACTTGATTTCTAACTCAGAGGCAGGCCTACATATCTTCTTCTGATATCATATCTGAAGATATGTAGACAGTGGTTTTCTGATTGAGTGATGGTAAAAGTAACTGAATGAACCAGACTGAAAACTTGAATTAATATTGAAGAAGACAGTTATCAAAACCTAGGGTTTCTTGCCCTGTGGTTCAGCTCCTTGTTCTGGTGTCTGGGCTCTGAACTGTCTTTCAATGTAGCAATCCCTGATCATCAGGAAGGCTTGAATATACTGAAAAACACATTACAATGTGAAAGAACATGGGACAGAAATCAAAACGCCTATGTGTAGCTCTAATTATTCCACAAACCAGTGTAATTTGACTAACAATGCAAGGTCTTCCTGTTGCACAGAAAGCTTGTGTAATTTGTCTTGAATCCCAGTTGGAAACCCAGTACTACCTCACCACTCTCTCTCTCTCTCTCTCTCATTCTTGGAGGTTTGCTTCCTCAGGGATCCCTGTGCCCCTGTCTCCTTGTATACACTTGCCTACTGCTAATCTGGACTTCAAATCACATCCTTTCTCCAGTTCCCAGCAACAATTCAAGCCACACAGGATTTTCTAGTCCACTGATGAATCGTTAAGTGGTGGAGAGGCTCACAACAGTTTTGGTCTTTCCGGTTATGTTTCTTCTCTCACTTTAAGACAACTAACTCAGGTAGAGCAATGCAGCTCTCTCCCCACCTCCTTTGCTCAGAGTTACATACCCAAATTCACCCAGGTGCTCAACTGCAAAAGGTTTTCCATTTAACAGGATCCATCCTCCTTAGAAGGAGGTTCTGGGTTCTAAATGTCCTGACCTTTTATGCCAGTCCCTAGGTCATGGATCAGATACTGAAGTCCAAGGACTTCAAGCATTTTACCTGTAAGATGAGGAAAGATAACAAATAAGAGCTTCCTATCCATCGTGGACCTTACCATTAAGTGCCATACGATCCCCGTGCCATTCTCCCTCCCTGAATTTGGTTGAAGAAAATGAGGTCTCAAATAAAAGGGCATTTTGGCTTCACTTAGGCCATTAGCCATAACCTCTCATAGTTTCTCCCACGTGCCTGCCATATCAACCCAGCCACCCCGCCTCAAGACATTATAAGTAGTGGACTTATCTTCCAAATGGAAGTGATTCTGCTATTGCTGGTATTTTTAAAGAATAAAAAAGAAAGAAAATTATCAAGGATACAGATGCTTATCTGATTCTCCAACTTTTTTTAAATAAAAAAAGTGAATTCCATCTTACCAATGGTCAGATTACTAGCTCAACCAATTTATTAGTTATTATTCCATGAAGGTAGGCACAACCTTAACCTGTGGCAGAAAATTATTGGGTCCAAGTTAGATTTAATATGAGCTTTTCAAAGGAAAGGATGTTAGTAGCTCAAGAAGCAACAAAATTTAATATTTAATGTTCATTTCAGCCCTTTCCGCCTCTTTATTGTCAGGGCATATATTCGAAAAATTAAAATGATAATAGTTACCTTCTTCTAAAAAGACAATTACAGAAGAGGAAAGTAATGATGTGTGGTAGTACAAGTTGCTTTTAAGAGGAAAAGTGGCATGATTATGTTAATAATGAATATATCAGAGTAATTTGGATGCTTAATTGAATAGCAAAGCTATTTTCTGCTTTCCACTGAAAAATTATCTCAAACCCTAATAATTTAAACTAAAGAGAAAAATTCTGGAAACAGAATTTCTATGGGTATTTCTAATGTTGGTAATGTCTGTACCCCAGAGATCTTATTTTGCCTTTAGCAAAGTACTTAACAATCCCAGTGGAGTATCCAGAGAACAAAATATTTCCCTATTTTCAATGGCAAGAAAATAATCATGTGGAAAAAAGCTTTAACTCCCAAAAGACATCTAGGTTCCCAAACCATGCGCAGAGTATTTCTTATGAGAACGAAGGCATTCAGGAAAGAGAAGAAGAGGTAGATTTAAGCCAGGTAAAGATCTGCCTGTGGTTGCTATCTGTGTTGCTCTCTCAGGTGGGCACCATGTGGTTAAAGGCAGGAAAAAAGTGGTAGAATTTCCTGAGGGATGTTGCTAAGAATGTTCTCCTCAACACCTATCTTTCAGCCACCTAGCTAGTGTCCAAAAGAGTGATGATGGTATGTGCCAAGAAAACTCCTGGGCACTGGCTTCTGTGTTCACGACATGTGACATTTGCCTTCACTGAAGGATGACCCTTTAGAGCATGAAACACTAAAACATTTCACCCTTGGTCTGACTTTCATAAATCTGTTGGTTTTTTGGTACTGACTAAATCTCTAGCCCAAGGAAGGCGTATTTTTGTACTATTTCTGTTTATTGAGCTAGAAATAACTATACTAGGATTAGAATCTATTAACAGTATACTTAAAAGTCATATTAAAAGTGCCTTAAATAAGGGATAGTGAGGTTTACAGCTGTTAAGCTGAGTCTTTACTCAGAATGCACTTAAAATATTTCAAATAAATGATGTATAACATTAAATTTGCCATTTTAACCATTTGTAAGGGTACAATTCTGTGGCATTAATTACATTCATGGTATGTGTAATCATCATCATGGCCTATTTAAAAAAACATTTCATCACCCCAAACAGGAACTCTGAACCATAATAGTAACTCCTATTATTACCTCTACTTGAAACCTAGAATGTTCTCCCTGTGAACCTGTCTAAGTACTTCATATAAGTAGAATCATACAATACTGTCTTTTTGTTTCTCAATTATTTCACTTAGCATATCATGTTTTGTATACAAGATTTGTATATCTTGTTGCATGTATCATAATTTAATTTCTTTTGAATAATGAATAATAATAATGAATAGATGAATAATGAATGATAATTCATTATAATGAAATAAGCATCCCTTATCTGAAATGCTTGGAACCAGAAATGCTTCTAATTTTCAGTTTTTTTAGGATTTTGGAATATTTGCATATACTTGATGAGATCTCTTGGATACAGGATCCAAGTATAAATCATATGTGTTTCAGATGTACATCATACACATAGCTTACAGGTAATTTTAGACAATACTTTTTATGTACCTGAATTTTGACTGTGACCTATCACATAAGATCAGGTGTGGAATTTTCCATTTTGGGGATCATGCCAGTGCTTAAAACGTTTGGGGATTTGGAGCATTTCTAACTTCAGAAACAACTTTTTTCTGGTGACACAGAGAATTAAACTCAGGGCAACCCTGACTATAGTCCTGGTTTCAGATGTTTTGGTTTGGGATGT